ATTACGTATTCAAGGATCTTAATATCTCCGATTTTTCGGTGATTTTATCGTCGCTCGACTTCGCTGCGATTTTTCACCCAAGACTAATTTCGCTAATTACCAATTGAAGCGACTAAAGCTCTTAATTATTTTTTTTACAACTTAACATATTTCTCCCTAAACGATACCACCAAAAAAACACGAGAATTCTCGCTGTGCGTGCGCAACGTGTTAATAAATAAGCGAATTGATTTGGTGCGCGGTGATCGAGTAAACGATTTGGAAGGGAGGGGCAGCCGCAGGTAGGTCGTATCAGCGAAATTAAATGCGCTCATACACAAACAGTGGCTGGCGCTCGTGCTGGGTGTAAATGGAAGTAACATGGGGGCACAATGCATCACCGTCCCCCCGGTTGATTCTTACGTGCAACGCCGCGGGTACGATGACGCTGCGGGAGACGACGTCAGGGAAACGAAATGGACGAGATCGCCGTATTATATCTGCCGGCGGAGCCGAACGATAGCAAAGCCGTGTTTTAATATTCACAGCCTAGCCTGTTGCAGTTGATAAACTCGTAATAAATTTTTACAAGCATCTCAATTACCATTCGAATTACACATTTCCTACGATATATCAGCCCCCTTGGAGTTTTTCGCGCTGACTCTGCGTCTAGGCGCCGGCTATTTACTGTCTTAGAAATGTATCAGATAGGAAATTCATTCAATTCCGTGATCCTTGGCCTTGTTAACGAAAGTTGAAATTCATTTTTGATAGTAATGTTTTTGTCGCATCTTGTGAACCACTTGTGAGGTAAAGGGTTCATTCTGATTCTTTTCTAAACGTCAGTTGTTTACTGTTTTAACCATTTGCACTCCTCGCAATTTTGAATACGACCTACCAGAAACTCTGAATCATTTTTACTATGGGCTGCCAGCTACTCCGAGGCTATCTACAATGGCGCGAGTGCGCCTCTGTGGAAGATACTTTGTCGGCGTTCGATTTTTCTTGAAAATATATCTTACAATGTCGCCGCAGCAGCGACAATGGAGTGCAAAGGGTTAATACTAATATTAGATAGAAAAAGCTGATTATTACGGACGAGTTGAATTTGGTGGACCTTGGCCTTATAAATGAAAATGAAAATTAATTTTTCCCAATGATATAACTGTTTTTGTCGCAATTTCTTATTATAAGGCAAGTGGTTAATTATTAAAAATTCCCTCCCACGATAAATTAATTATTAAAACTATCCTCCCACAATACTAAGAATTCCCTCGAAATGAATTGCAAAAAATCGCCACGACCCTCTTTCCTCGTTGTTCCTTTTTTAATTATCCCGAGAATGGAGGAGAAGGCGATATATCAGTTTCTTGATTGTGTTATCCGAAAATTCAATTTTATGCGACAGAGAAGCGCGCGAACATCGTAAAACCTTGGGTGACGTTTGACCTATCGATTTCGTCTTCCACAATTTCTGCCGAGGGGGATCGGCTGTAGCTTATAGATGAATTATAGTTGCTCTTTGCTGTCGCGCATTCAACGGTGATGTATGACTTGGCGGGAGATGGTAGGTAGAAAACATCCACGATGTACGGCCTGTTAATAACAGCAAGAATGAACGAACGGCTGCACAACGCGGTACACAGATGCCGCTGGCGGCTAGACCCCCTTTGTGTTTTATTACAAACGATACGTCAGCCAGGATGTATGGGCTGCTTTTATCTGCGGCCTGTTATTGATGTGCTAAATTGTCTGCTCTGACTCGTAAGACTGGCCAGGATGGCTGATAGACGTCGTTCTAGGACGTGTTTCCGACGACAAAAAGATTTAACCGATGACACCCAGCTCTTTCCTTTCCTTTTTTCGTTTTCGTCGCACAGAAATTATGGGAAAGATCTTTCGCGGAGATCGGTGAAAACTTTTTTAATTAAAATTCACAGCTCTTTCGTTCGACCGTCGATAACGATTTTTGAAGCTCGAAGGGAAACTATAGCGCGTTCGCAATAGCAACAACTAGTAAATTGCTCGTCGTATTTTTCTCTCTATGGCCACGTTTTGTTCCAATTATCGAGATAGAAATAAAAAAGAATTGCGGTTATCGTTGGTGGAATAATGATAAATAGTTGTTGGAAGTGTAACGTTCATGGGTAAAATTAGTTTTTATTCCGGAGACTTGTGAATCTAAGTTTACGCTGGAATAATAAAAAATTGAGAATGCATTACGCGCTACTAGGTTATGTTAATCGACGCTGCAATTTCGCGTGGCAAAGGTCGAAGAAAAGTGACTTAATGATCGAGTGAATATTGTAAAAGAAAGAGAATCAACCTTGGCTCTGTTTGCAGGTTGACTGAAATAGCCGATCGTTGAGAAAATATAGAATCAGTCAGAGAAATACCTGTAGCGAGAACATCGGTGTACACAAATTTCAAGAATTTGGCCGAAAAACGTAAAAGAAGAAGTTTAAACCAAGATTTACTCGTAATTAACCCTTTCGCTGCGGCATATTTTATTTTGCAGTCGCAAAATCTTCAGTTTTGGCGTTGTAAAATTTTCAAAATATTCCAAAGTTCAAATTCAATTGTCTCTTATCAAATTAAGGTGGAAGCGCGCAAAGGACAGACTTAAAAATTTTCGAAGCGCCTATAGGCGCGAACAGCAGTGAAAGGGTTAAGTTTCCACGGCTGAAACTCCTTCGTTTATCGATCCATTTCCACAAAGAACGAATCTAACAGTTTTATTATCATGCAAAATTATCGTCGAAGTAGCGTCGCATCGGTGCATAAGTTTCGATTTTCCTCCAATTATACATTCGAAATGGAAACCTATGTAACGCGTGCTGCATCGTAGTTACCCGCCTCGATATATCGCTTACCGTCAGCTAAAGTGGCGCCCCCACTTTAATATTAATTACCCCCGCGCTAAACGCATACATGCATATATATTTCTTCACAGATTCAATCACGGAGGCACACACGCCGAGAGAGAGAGAGAGAGAGGAGTTTTGGGCGAAGATAGGATCCATCCATATACGCGTAAATACTCTAGTTAGAACGGACAAGTCACTAATTGAGATTCAGCGATGCACATAATGGTACCCGAAATAACATGAATTCCAATCCATGAAACGAAACGGGAAGACGAAATGCGAGGAGACTATTCATCTCGACGGTTAAAATCACCGAATATTTCACTTTGCTGAGCCAGCTGAGCATGCTACCGCCTGTCGTGGCACCCTGGCGATGGAAACGACGTTTGCAGAGGGTAGAGCAAGCCTTCCCCCTCTGTATGGGACTAAAAACCTTCAGCCACCCACTCCGTCTCTCCCACTCGCTCCTCTTCACGTTTTCCAACCTTCTCTCTCCCCACCCCCCACCCCCTCCTT